TGGTCTTTGAGAGTCGAAGTGAGCCTGTTGCGAGAATGCTGATGTAGGTAGGATAGTCGAGTAGTGTAGGCTGGGCGCTGGTTTCCAAACAGACAGGGGCAACTTTGCATACTGTGTTGGTGTGGCCTGAGGGCTTGAACATTTGCTCATTACTTGTATTGATTTTTTTTGGATGGAATCTCGGTGCATTTGTGCTCTCTACTTGTACATGATTACTTGGACATCTGTGTGATTTCTCAACTTGGCTTTCTGTGTATTGTTCCCACTCATATTCCTTGCATTTGGACCATTTCTCGATTTATGTGTGCCATCCTTGCGCAGGGGCCAGGGAAGCTTGGGTTCCATTGTGCAGCTCCGTGGTGCGTTATTCCCGGGCGATTGCACGTTGTTATGAGGAAACCCGGGGAGGGGGCCCTGTCCGTCGCTGAAGCCAGGTGCAGCAGCGTCTGTCACCCGCCGTGCCCGCTTCAGAGGTCCTCAGCAGGGGTCAGGGGTTGCGGTGTTGGTATACCTGTCGCGCACAGTACTTGTGAGCTGGACCTGAAGCCCCTTTCTGAGCACTGTAGAAGAAAAGAAAAGAAAAGAGAAATTAAAATAAATTAAAATAAAATATAATTTGCAGATCTGCCCTGCAAATCTGAGATCTGGGTTCGAGCTCGATCTGAGCGTCGCCTTACCGTGCGGATCCGAAAATCACGAGTGAGAGGTGGGCTGGCATTATGTCTATTCATCCTCGAAGCAGCGATCTGAACGGTCACTTTGTTTAGCTTCAAGTCCCCCTCCGTCCAGTGGTGTCCGATYGTTAGTTCATCCTTTCACCCCGGAGTTATGACCCTCAATAGACTCCTGTCTCAAAACTCCTCCCGAACACAGGTAGTTTCCCAGCCTCAAAAGCTCTCTCTCTCTCTCTCTCTCTCTCTCTCTCTCTCTCTCTCTCTCTCTCTCTCTCTCCCTCTCTCTTGCACACTATCAAATCACTATCCGCTGCCCTTTTCCTCTCTTTCATGTGACCTATCACGCAGCCCCACACAGTTTCTCTCTCTCAGCCATACTACTCAGTGCCTGTCGTCTTTCCCACTCTTTGTCTCTTACACGCACTCTCACGCTCACACTCTCACACCTCTTTGTTCTCCCTCTCACTTTCTCTCAGTCTGAGTACTCTCTCACACTCCTTCCACACCTTTTTCACGCACCGTCAGGTTTGTACAGCTTAACGAGCGGATCCGAAATTAAGGCCAGGCAATGAAGGTATCATTACCGGTCCTCTCGTTGGGAGGTCATCAAGAGACCGTCCGAGTTTGAGCGTTCGAGTGCAATCTCTGAAATTTTACCAGAACGAATATGTACTTAATTGCTTGCCCCAGTTGTTCAGCAACATGACCTGACTGCAGCTTCGCTCTACATCAGAATATTTCAAATATTTATTAATAAACAATATACCCTATCAAGGAGATTCGGAGAGTAATCAGGGAAAAATTGTTTTTCAAAGGTCTCTAGTGTCGTCTTTCAGATAGTCTTCAGATACTTGTTTGATGAGGAACCACCCCTGACTGGATGAGAATGAAGGCTTCGTGGCTGCCTGTTGGGATGCTTTGAAAATAAGTGATATTTACTATTAAATTGCTAATTTTGCAGAAACCCATCAGAGTGGAATAATGAAACTCTTTCATATGAAGTTAGGATACCCGGTGTTGGATGCTCAATCTTCGGWAAAACTCGTYTCAAGGTGTCTCTAATGCAAATGAACGCTCGYCCTAGTCAATCAGTGCAATTTAGGCCTTCAACAATAGACACAAGCCCCCTGTCCCGTTATTATCAATGACAATAAATAATTGTGGAGAAGATCTTCACCTGTGTCAAGCACCACTCATGACGGGATAACAGATCCGGTACTAATCTCTGGTGGTCAGTCACATTCGCCTCAAACAACTTCAAGCATTGATTATCAGATTGACAACACTCCGGAATTTTGGCACTTCATTAGCCTGCATCAACAGTTGCCCCGTGACCGGCCATTCTGACAGCTAAGAGGGCAATTCCCTCGGACATTGGGAAAGTGTTTGAAGTTGCACCCTCACTGCACGTGGTCAAAATCTGGCGGCCTAAATATTACCGCAAGTCTCATTTCTCATCTCATGGATCTGCAGCTTCTCATCTGCCTGCCGCTCTCGAGCATCCTTAGTAGCCAAGGGTATGACCAAGTCCAAGCTAGTCTGCCGTCGAGCAGTCACAAAAAAAAACTGTGTACACCGAGTACGTCTCCGAAAGTTCCCCCCCCCACTGCGTCTGTCAACCGGGACAATTATTCGTCGCTGCGCACGTCATGCACACTGCTCTCTCTCTCTCGCACTGCACATCCCTCCTCTCACAGGCAGACTCCCCCCCCCCCTCAATCTGCTCACTCTCTCTCTCTCTCTGTTGCGCTGTCACTCTCCCTCTCTCTCGGCTTGTTCTTAGGGCCACAGATATCCGGATCTAGCTCAGATAAGCCCTTGTCTGTTTTTCTCCGAATAGAACACACGGTAATCAAGTTGTCTTTGTAGCAGCCTCCCGTTCAGATATGGTAAATGAAGCGGGCACTGTAATCGAGAGTTCAACTACTAGACATCAGCAGCGCAGTCGCTCTCTCACCTATCCCACCTGTCATCCACTCACTCGCAATATACCACTGTTGTCCACTCTTTCAAGGCGAAATACAGATTTAGACATATTGCTAAATTAAATAATTTAATAAATGACCTTCCTGATCATTTAGCGGAAAAATGAAACACGGCTCTCTCCCAGGGCATAGGCAATCCCTCCGATTGCCCGTGCTTTCACTCACCCTCAGGTCGGTTAGATCTGACCGTACTCGCACTCGAGAGCAGCGGCTATTTCCAACTTACCTGGCTGCATCTTTACTCAAGGGATTTGAATACCCCTGGACATCTCTCTCCTTCCCTGGTCTCTCCTTCGTGGATACACGCCCATGGCCGCCACGCCCATGGCCGCACCAGTGAGTTGCATTCACCCTGGTTGCCTGCCCTAGTGCGCCCAGTTCCCCCTGGTCTCCCCCGGTCTTCCTCCACTCCTGAAAATAAAAATAAGAAAAATAAAGATGAATAATTAACAGTCAATAAAAATGAATAATTAACAGTCCACCCACGCTCGTGTCCGATCACGGATTTATCAGACGACCGTAGCCCGGTTGATTGGTTGCTACGCCTGATTGGTAGTGTTCAGCTTGATGGTCACTAGTCATGTGATAGGTTGATATGGCTCGGTTAGCCATTCCACTTCACCTCAAACACTTGTTCCTATCTCAGAATCAATCCCCCCAATGTTTCTCAGTCCCCTCTCTTCCGCTCTCCGCTCGTTGACCTGCCTAGACGCATGCTGTATTCCGCTGTGTACACCTCGCATGCTCCCTCCGGAGCGGAGCTTTTCCGCGGTGTACACCACGTACACCTTCCTCCCTCTTCCCCTTGTGGTCCGCTGGCCTCTCCTATATCCTGGCCGCACTCTTGCCTGTGAGCGTTAGCGGACGCGGACCAATGACTCAGTCTAGGCCAGGCTCGCAAGCTTGGGCCCGCCCAGGCAGCGGTACCAGAATTATACCGGGCCTGTTTCAAACCAGCGTACCGAGCCTGTTTCCAACCAGTGTCCCGAGCCAGCCGGTCTCAAATAAATAATAGTACTGGCCTGTTTCCAACCAGCGTCCCGAACCAGCCGGTCTCAGCCAAATAATTATACCGGCCCTGTTTCAAACCAGCGTACCGAGCCAACCGGTCTCAAATAAATAATAGTACCGAGCCTGTTTCCAACCAGTGTCCCGAGCCTGATATACAGTGCCGCAGCTTTTCCGGACCTGAAAACAATCTGCCGCCGAGGTCCCAAAACTGGAATATCTGTCAGAATAAATCAGCGCAGCTGTCCGGAGTCTGAAAATACGTCACCGTAGTGACACAGGTATCAACCGCACCCGAAGCACGTCAGGCACGCGCCTGTCCATGTGTCCCCCGCACTCAGAACGTCTTAACAGTGGTCWGTGTTAGTGATCAAGCAAACCAGGGAAACCGACTCAGGAAATCTCAGCCGTCAGGGGTAGTAAAAAAAAATGACAAAACCCAGGGAAAATATCCAATCCGAGGTCAGAACTAACGTCGGGGTAATCGAGGCGAAATTAGGCCTCCCTCCTGATAATCATGCGTTCCCGTTCCTTTCATCAATCTTCATCATTCTTCCCTTTTCTTAATTTTATCGTTGGAAATATTAAATTAATCGTAAGTTTGCCAAAATTCAATTCCAAGAAAATTTTTATAAATAACCGATTTCGTTTTGTTTCTTTTTCCTTTTACCATTTTTAATATTTCTTTTATGTTTTTAATTTCATTGCCGAAAACATAAAATATCAAGGGAATTTCCCCTAAGATTAAATGTAGTGAAAAATGAAGAAAATAA